ATAGAATGATAGGTTTATTTTTAGTGAGTGTGAAACACTTAAATATACCAGTTCGATACTTTTGTTTTGTGCTCAACTTCAAGGTTATAAGAAGTGTTTAACAGTATTTCTTCAGTATGTAAATTTGCCCAGTTTTAAGGGTCAGTGTTACATAAATTTGCCCAGTTTTAAGGGTTAGTGCTACCTTAAGAGAGGAGCTCTTTATTTCAGGACATCATCATTGTAGTTGTTTTGTGTGCAAGATTTCTAGACCTGTAGATTTTGGCCTCAAGTGAGAGTTGGTTGTATTTGGATGTAGAAGGGTTTTTTTTAGTTTATTCGGTATCTTGCCTGGTGTTTGGTTAAAACAGAATTGCCAGAGTTCAACAGTCAAGTTCATAATCTCTCAGGAACATATTAATGAAAGTTTAATAACTGTGAATTTCAAACAAACAATTCAGTTACAATGTTCACTGCTTTTGCAGTTATACACACATAGGGGAGAAATTGGCGCGATCACAAAGGGTGTAATAACATAAATATTCCAAACATATTATCAGAATTAAGATACCAAATCTTAGAAGCAGCTCAACAAAGGAAAATTTAAGAAAAAATCAAAGCTTTTTTTTTATTTCAAAATGTACCAATCAAACTCTCAATCAAGACCAAAGCCTGTTGGTCAGCAATGTGTTCGGCATCCACTCTCCTTGAAAACAAAGCCACAGTGATAACATCACACAATAAACAGTCCATTGACAACTACTTTCTTCAAATGTCCTACAAATGACAACATTTGCAGAACTCAAACAAAAGCTCTGCAACAGATCTGCACTCTCAACAAAAATACACAAAACAGTGACCTGAAAGAGTCTTAGTATGAACTAAAATGTCATCCCAATCCAAAAATATGGCAGGAGCAGTCTATTGAAAATTTTAACTGCATTATAGATTTTTGCCTCTGTTTTATCTGTCATTTGAGAAGGAAGCTCTTTTTCTGCTGTTTATTTCTGTAAATTTTCTGCTGTTTATGAATAAAATGAGTTACGCTATACCTCGTATCTTCTATTTATCATATTTATTACTTGGAATAAAAACAGTAATTTAGTCTACTACACTAAGTGTTCTACACAAAGTGAAGTTAAAAAGAATTATTTCACTTCCTTATACAATTTGGTTTTGTACAAATGATTGGAAACTTGTTTGTTGCTTACAGTTACATAATTTATTGGCTTTTTTAAAATTTTGTTTTAGATGTTAGAGAGTTTGTTATTAAGGCTCAGATCCTAGCAGGTGGTCGTGGTAAAGGTACTTTCTCCAGTGGGCTACAAGGTGGAGTAAAGTTAACAACAAAGTAAGTTCAATTCTTCTAGTTCATTGGTATTTTTCAGAATCACACAGTTGTTCAATTTTTATTATAGGATGTGTAACATACAGCAGCAAAGCATACTGTAAACTAAAACGAGGAAGTGTGAACATGTCTGTATGATTATAGTTATACTTGTCATAAGACATTAGTATTAAGCCTATTAAATTTTTAATCACTACATTCTTTATCTAGTCCCTTAAGGATTTTCAAGAATTAGAAGAGTGTATAATAACGTATTCGAACAGCACTGTATATGTTGTATCCATTGTCAATTATGTATTTTGCTCAATCCAGAGCTCTTCAGGCATCTGAGATACAACAACAACAGTTGTTATTTTGTGTAAAAGGCATATACACCATAACAATGTCTGTTTGATGTTTTGTTCCTAATATGACCATTGCATCTCATGCTGTGTTAGTTCCAAAAAGCTGCTGAGTAGTGTTTCAATGTAGAGGCTCCAGCCAGGACCAAGATGAGGCACCGTACAAGTTCTTTGTAACAGAATATTTAATTTTTACCAGAAAGCATGAAATTACCCTTTCTAAAATGTGCATTAAGTAATTTAGAACTGCACATCAACAAATTAGAAGTACACAATATGTGATGAACTGCATACTTATACAAGCCCCCAGTCAACAGTGTCTTTATATCTAGTAATTTATGTGAGACTTCAGTGTGTGTGTTTTTTCTTAGTATTTAATTTAAACTTTAGTAATTTCATTATTGTTTCAATTAAAAATGATTTGAATATGTATTTACATACACCTGTGAAACATTAAGAAATTTGAGATTGTGAACTTCCTAGAAACATAAACACAGTAATGAGCAACTTTGTGTGATATACACATTTGCTACATTCCTTAATTCTAGCTTCTATAATTTACTGCAGAGGAACATGAAGCTGTTATTTAGTTCTGATGTATTTTTTTACAGAATGATGTTTTGTCTCTGTAGTTTCTTTTCTACACACTCAAGAAAGAGAAAAACACATAGAGGGACTTGATTTATTCATTATTCTTCTGTGTGTTTCTTATATTTGTACATCATCTTGATTATTTTGATGTCTTCAGAAATGTAACCCCTTCTTCAATGATTGCTTGTAATTCTCAGTTATACTAAAATACCTTTTTAGTATGTAGTGAGATATTTAGGTATGTGTACAGTTTGTGTGTAGAAAAGAATATATTTCTCTAGCTGTTTATAAAATTCTACAGTATCTATTATTAAGAGGTTATTTTTTATTCTGTTTACTAAACAGTTTAGGAATAAAAGCTCTTCCAGATGTTATAGGGCACTTTAAATCAGTTTATTGTCCTTTCACATCTAAAAGTATGTAGGTTATATTTAAGTAAATGCTTTATAATTCAAAACAAACTGTGATAATCATCTTTTGAAAAGTTTTCAGAGTTAGTTTGCAAGTTAAAAGAGTAGTAGAAATATTTGTTTACAAATTTTATACAGCCCTAAAGAAGTAACACCAATTGTAGAACAAATGCTTGGACATAAACTAGTAACCAAACAAACGACTGCAAATGGAGTACTTGTTAGAAAGGTAAACCTATTTTATTGAAAATACTTTGAAGCATAAGAGAAGATATATTAAAGTGTGATTGTGATTTCTTGCATATCATTATTGGGATTTGGTATTAAGTTAAAATTACATCTTGTTAAGATACTGTTATTTATTTACTTTACATTTATTTATATTAACACAACCAATTTTTTAATTACATGTAGGTTATTTTACTTTTTTGGAAAACATTTGTAGTTGAGGAACTAAACAACTTCAGTAAATTAACTTCAAACACTCATACTCAACCACATTAACTTCAAAATATAGTTTGGATGTGAAGCACAGACTATCATTCATTTAATATTTATTATTAAATTCAAACAAATCTCACGATAATTTATTTTTTACTGTTATTTTTTTTCTAAAAATTAAACTTTTTTGCTTATCTCTGTATATTCTCTTCCTTTTATTATCTTCATATTGCATATACAACAACTAAATGTGTTCAGTCACTTATCTTATACACTTAATTATAGTTTGCCTTATCAAGAACTTGTCCTTCTGTTGTTGCTACTTTTACCTTTTCTGGCTTTTCTCTTCATGATTCGTAGCATTGTTATCTGCACTTCTTTCTAACAATGTAGAATTAAGGTCATGATGTTTGTATCTAATATTGCCTGTTTGATTTCTCTTGAAAGACAATTTATTGAAAGATATTTCCAGCTCCTGTGTTGTAAACCATTACATTGTTGATTTGGATGCCTTTAGTTTTATTCTTCCTCAAATTTCGTTCATGATTTGGTAGAATTGTTTTGTTTGGAGTTAGGTTCAGAACCAGTGAAAATTTCTAATCCCTCTTTATGTATTAGACTGGAACCTGGATGTTCCACTTCTTTATTTTTTCACACTTTCTTCAGATAATCTGTTACACACTGATCATTTCTTGTGGTATTGGAAATCTTCTTTTAGTTTTTTATATCCTTTGTGGCTTCCACACATTTTGATTATAATTTTACTGTTGAGAGATTTTTGTTTTCTCTTTCATCACTGCCTACGCTTGCTAGCCTAACTTCAGATAAATGAAGACTTTTAAATTTCTTAATTCTCCTCAACCTTCTGCTTTGATTTTTTGTTCCTGATAATTTGTTTCCTTTTATCTCTCTCTCTCTCTTTAGTTTAGGGGAATAAATATCGTTCGTTGTCCCATCCCAGCCATTGGGTTTCTTTTCTTGACCCCATTGTCTTAAAAATGCATGGACTATTGAAGTCATATGGAGAAGAGTTTCTTTGGTTCTGCATTTCATTGGAAAACTGTGTTTCATCCATATTAATGAACTAAATCAGTATCCCTGGTGAGCATGCAATGAAGAAGATGTTAGGTGTAGAGAAGAAGAAAAACAGAGAGACTAATGCCACCTCAGGCAATGGACTAATAGAATTATAAATGATTTTGTGTCCAATGGCTCCACAGACTTAGATTTCAATTATGAATCATGTTCAATGATAGAACTTTCTAAATGTGGTCAGTTTAATGTTTAGGAGTAAGTGCTGGTTGCTTGGATTATCATTTTCCACTGCCCAAAAATGACACTTTTCAGCTGGAAAAGTCAGAGAAAATTAAAGTTCTGATACGATATCTTACCTCTTCTCGCAAAATAGTTTTCTTGATTAGTACTGCTGTCTATCAGTGCAAATTTTCGATGCTCCGACACAAGCCTTCCATCTTACACTTCATGATTAACGAGTTCAGCTGTGAAGAGGGCACTGGTTATGATAGGAGTAGTGTTACACTCCTATTCGTAGAGAGTTGCTGCATGATCATTTGTATGTGGTTATGCAGAAGTGGGAGGTGAAAGACTAGTGGCAGAGTGTTGAAAATTTATGTCGATAGATGGTAGTACTAATCAAGAAAGCTATTTTGTGAGAGGAGATATTTATCAGAAATACATTTTCAGTGTATGAAAATTCTAACTTCCACTTTGTATGCACCCTGAAAAATACCTATTATTGGAGTAGGGTGCAAGGAAAAACATTCCATAACCTTGAGGAATATCTGAAATTACAGCAAAATGCTGTGTGATGAAGATAATAATTAAAGCAGAAGAAATAAAAGAACAAATTATAAAGTAGTTGTTATAAACTGGAAGAAAAAAATTAAGTAAAGCACCCATCTTTGGGATTAACAAAAATAGGCAATGGTGAGAGTGAGGAAAATAAGGTGTGCCATCAGGGGGGGGTACATTCAAATTTTCAGTTTTGCCTCACCTCCTGTAGATAGATCTTCACCAAATTTAATATGGAGGTTCATTGGGTTCTTGGGGAGATAAAAACAAATTTTCAGTTTTTATGGGTGTTTTTGCATTTTTTTACCACTACTTCGCTCCCTATTGATGAATCTTCACCAAATTTGGCATGCAGGTTTGTTGGGTCCATGCGGAGATACATGCACAATTGCAGTTTCACATTTTACGTTTTGCAGTTTTTTGGGTGTTTTTACAATTACATATAAGGGAAGCAACTTTTCATGTCCTAAGATAACCTTTCGTTAATCATGAATTTACATAACTTCTATCCAGGGGACGGGTACTCCAGTTAGTTTGTAATAAACTGTGTATTTTTTTTTTTTAAATATATGTATGGTGTACTTAATGCTTTTGGAAATGTGTAAAATATAGAAAATTTTACTTGAATTAACTCAGTAATTATTTTCTTAGTAAAATGTTTTGAAAAATATCATGTTTGGGAAATAAAAACTAAATTTTTATGAAACTGTTTTCAGGTAATGATAGCAGAAGCCCTAGACATTGAGAGAGAAACATACTTGGCAGTTTTAATGGACAGAGAGACTAGTGGACCAGTCATAGTGGCCAGTCCAGCTGGAGGTGTGGACATTGAGGAAGTAGCACAGACCAATCCAGAGCTTATATTTAAGGTTTTCATTAAGTTTTTATTATTTAATTTTTCTTCTACCTTAAAATGTTAAATAGACAAGATGTTAAATTTTCCAGTTTTAAATTGGACTTTACCCTCTTGTAACAGGTAGGTCAAAGTGTGAATGTCATGAACTTCTACAGAGGCACATTAAAGCTACTTTATTACCAACCTAAATGAATAAACTTGGCATCAATACATAAGTAATAAATCAAACTTTAATATTATATAAGTTTTAGTTCTTAATTTTATAAGAAATTATTTTTAAAAAATCCTAAATCTCCCATAGTATGAGAATCGTAACGTTCGTTCTCTAGGTCTTAATTTAAGCCTCTCTTGTCCAAAGTGTAAAGTCAGCTGAATTATAATAACTATAGGACATTGTTACTTTGTGCATGCTGTTATTCTATGTTTTTAGGTGCATTACTTAACTCAATAAAAATTATTTAGTGTAGAAGTACCATCATTATATAAAAAGTAGATTTAAATTTTATCGGCAACCGACAGCAAAAAATGAGGTCAGTACTGTATTTCTTGTACTTTAGGTATATTTTTTATTTATGGTTATAAAAGTAACTGAAATGTAAAAATTAGAAACTTGTAGATCAGATAAGGTTTCATTAGGTAAGATAGTGAAAAATAATAATTATTCACCAGGTTTTTGCATTATGTCAATCAATACAGTAACGTGAGCTATGCATTTGCTGAACAAATTACAACTTGTGTGGTTGGATTATTAGTTAGAAATGTTCAAAGGGCAATAAAACAATAAAATTAAATGTTAACAGTTGTATACTGTTATAAGCCTTAAGTTATCTAGGATAAACAAATTGTAATTTTCTGTCACAGTCTGTAGTCATTTTAGAAAGAAAAAAGGTAATTTACATTTATTTCGTATTTGTTATGGTGGTAACAAGGTCAGTGAAATCTACTGAATCCATATAGAGTTAGGGTAAAGAAAATAACAGATAAAATATAAAGTTTTACTGAACAAAAGGTTTGATATTTATATATGAGGTTTTAAGAGATTATGCAAATGAAATTTGAAAATTTTCAACTGAAGAAAAGTATTTTTCATCGTAACATGAAAATCACTTTGCAATCAGAGCAGGCAAAACTCTGATAAAATATAATTGCAGATTAATCTTTAATAAAAATGCTTAATTAAAAATCTTATTTCTCATATACAAATTTTGTGAAGATGCACAAAACATATCAAAAATTATAGTATGAAAACTGATGGTTACCTTGTGGTTACAAGGTCAATCACATTAACTGACCCCATTGATGTGTGATAGTGTGAAATAACTTTTTATATTAAGTTAATAAATTATTACCCTAAGAAATAAAGTGTGAATAATTTTGTCTGTTAAATGAATATATCTTTTATTGTTGGAAAGAAAATTATTTTTAATAACATTTCAAGAATACACAATATTTGACCAATAATACTGATGTTCATAGAAAAATAAAATAAATATCATAGCTCTATAGATGTAAAAAAAAAAGTAATAATTTTTTAATGGTCAAACTTTTTTGGTGATTAATTGATCTGTTGTTATGTTTGAAAAATATTTAAAATAAGTATACTATCTAGCAAGCTCTGATATTGTTTTTGTTTTTTTATGAACATCAGTAATCAGTATGTTTGGTCAAATCTCATGAATTCTATGTGTTGAAAAATAATTTACTTTCCAACAATAAAATATGTATTAAATAAATTAGCTGACACCTAATGTGGGCTTAGGACAAAACTAGTAATATCTTTTTAAGGTATCTGAGATTTGTTTTTGGTTAATAAAGTTTATTAACTTTATATAAAAAGTTAAAACGTTGTTTCAAAATGTCTTTAAGTGCTCAAAGTGTATGATATTATACTTCGTGATATTGATTATAAGTCAGAAATATTCTATATATATGGCAGTGACTTATGAGATTACTAATAGTAATAGGTTCAAGTTAACTTAAGTTATGAGCTCTTAGTTCTTGGGATAAGTTTTGTGGTACTAAGTGGTTGAATCGTAATTTTGATTAATTGATTATCATATGTGATACTAATAGATGTAGCCGATGCTCATAGGTAACCAAATTAATTGCCCAGCTCTATTTCATATATATTGCAACAACTTCATTTTGAAAAATTTAAATATTTTTCTGTTTTAAACTTTAGTGAAATTTTGTATTCTGTGTTAAATCACATACTTTCAACATATGTTTCCAAATACTCACTGTATATTATGTTTTATATATGAATATTTTGCATGACTTTGTGAATATCATTAAACTAGTATGTAAATGTTTAAGATATGTGATATACGATAGAAATTAAAATACTGACATCATCAGAATTACACGAATGCTAAGATTTATCATACATTTTCTATTTTACAATTTGTACTAAGAAATTGCTATAAGGTTTGTGTTCTGTTATCTTTGTTATTTTTTTTTTTAGGAATCAGTTGATATTGTGAAAGGTCTATCCAATGAACAAGCAAGAAAACTTGCTGAAAATTTGGAGTTTAAAGAAGAACTAAGGGACCAGGTGTGAAAAAAATCTACTATTTATATATACGGAAATGCTTATTTTTTCCTCAGTCAGTAAATTCAAATAAATCCTTGAGTCTTGTGTATTTGTGTTTGTGTTAATTCATTAAACAGTACAATATGATACTGTAAGTGAAATGCAATTTACAAAAAATGTTAATGATACAGACAATTTGTAAACGTTGTAACTGTAGTACAGTTTTTAATGAAACAGAGATTTAGAAAACTAATTTTGTTACAACAATGTCATTAGGTTTTCTGTTGATAATTATATATCCTAATACTATCTGTAATTTATTTGATAGAATGATACAGCACTAAAAATTGTTTTTAGTAAATATTGAATATACATATAAAATTACTTATGCATTTTCTTTTGTTAGGCTGCAAATCAAATAAAGAAACTTTATGAATTATTTCTCAAAGTTGATGCTACACAAGTGGAGATTAATCCCTTTGGAGAAACGCCAGATGGACGAGGTATTGTTGTTAAAAGTTTTCACAAAGTTGAATAACTACAGCTTGTAGGTTCAAATTAAACAGTTTATCGTATAAAAGCTTTCAACATCTATTCAGGATGTATGGCCTCTTGTTAAACAGATTAATCCTATGTACACGAGTGTGTGTGAGGAGGGGGTCATATTGAGTGCCATTCAATATGATAGGGTAAATTTAATGTCAGAATTACCAATTAGTCATTTAACCTTAACCCTACATTGCTGATTTAATGACAGTTCATGTAGAGGAGAGCATCCTTGTATATTCTAAAATCAGATCCACTATTACAATATACAGAGATACTGAAAAAAATGGATATGCATTCAGAGGTTCTAGATGTTATGCAAACTGTGCAATGGACAAAAGTATTTGTATTATTTGCATGAACATCACCTGGTACTCCAAGTTATCAGAGTTTGAGTTAGACTGAGGTGGTCAATTCACAGATGTATCTTGAGTACAGATACTTATGTAACACATCTGATAATTTTTGTTTACAACACATTTGTACAGATTAGTAAAAGCTTGCCACATTTTGTATTTGTACATGCACCCCCTAGCGGACTAACAATGCTAGGAACCGGGCTTCAATACCCATGGAGGGCAGAGCACAGATAGCCCATTGTGTAACTTTGTGCTTAACTTTAAAAGACAACAACAAAATTATAAAATACTAAATTTAAAATTATAGTCGACATGCCTTCTTCAACATTAGACTAATCTCATGCACCCCAATTAAAGTCTTTGGCTGTATCATTATTAGCCTGTAATTAACTCTTTCACTGCCACGTTAATAGAAAAACAACTCTCCTAGTGCCAAGTTTATATGGTGTTGTATAATTATATCTTACAATATGTCATATCTACATGTAATGCTTTTAAAGAGAATTGATTGAAATATTTCACAGAAGATTATCTTCTCGGATTTTAAGAAGTATTAAATAAAATAATTAGTCATCTATTCCAAAATTTGAAAATTAATATGTAAGATTTTTTTTTTTTAATTAATTATAAAATTACTGATCTTAAACCATTCTATTTCTTAAACCATTTTACTTCTTTCAAGGTTAAAATAAAGGTTGTATAGCATGTCATATATATATGTATATGTCCACGGCAGTGAAAAACTTAAGGAAGCAAAATGTACCATCTCAAACGTAGTAACTTTCACTTTGGTGGTTCCACATTTTTGGAGTTTTCTCCAACAGAAATTTCCCTTGTTTGATATTGAATATATTATAGCAAAAAATGGAAGTTATGACTAATGTAATTTTAAACAAATCATGTACATGCCTAGATATTATGACACACTCATTAAGGTTGACTTTAAAATACAATTAACACTGTCAGGATGAAGTGTGTACTGAAATTCAAGTTAAAAGTGTAAAGTTGGTTGTTTAAACACCCTATTGAATTTCATGTATCATGGTAAAAGATCCATAAAACAGCTTAACAGTTTTTATAATTAAACCTAATGGCTAATGTGTAAATGCCTTTATTCTGTGTTTTAGTGGTTTGTTTTGATGCCAAAATCAACTTTGACGACAATGCAATGTTTCGTCAGAAGGAAATCTTTGCAATGGAAGACTCGTCTGAGAGTGACCCTCGGGAAGTTGAAGCCACTAAATATAGTATTAATTATATAGGAATGGATGGAAACATAGCTTGTCTAGGTAGGAATTTTATTTACTTTTCCCAGTTTCCACTTTTATTTCTATGAAATTAAAATATGATCTATATATCCAGGCAAAACAGATTATTTTTTATTTGCTTAACTTTTCAAGTTCTAGCTAACTGACTGCAAAACATGTAATATTCTAAATGATTTATGACAGTGACAAATTATTTACCTGTAAAAGAGTTCCTAATAAGACTCATACCTAAACATACACACATACACAATTATTTCACTTTTAAATCTTCAAAAAAGTAGATTTCTAGTCAAGTACAAGGAATGGTCTTACTTGAGCAAGCGTTGAAAGTTTTATAAGATACCTGTATTCTTATTCTAACACAGTTCAATGTAAAACATTAGAAATTATAAAACTTACTTCACCAGCATCTTTATTATTGGCAGAATATGAATTATGAGTTTTGTTACAGATAATACCTAAAGCTGAGATGTGTCACTTGTTCTCTCACTACTTGATTGGCTGAGCTGGTGGTCAAATGTTGTTGTTGTTTTTTACAATTCTCTGTGTCCCTATTGAATATCAGTTTTATTCCAGCTGAATGTTAATAAAAGAGATTGAGGTCATAAAAAGTTTTGTAAATTTGTTGTGTGGATCAGTTTTTAATTGATATTTTTCCTCTTATAAAAAAAAGTCCCTGTTTGTTTTACAGAGTTAAAATAATTAACTATGAAAATATTATATAATAGTTACTTTACTGGATCTATCATTTCAAGTTAATTAAGTATACATACCATTGAATTAACAATGATAAAGAACTACATTAGGAAGTAGAAAAGAGTAAGTTATAGAGTGAATGGTGTCATAATGTTCATTATAACTTATTTCACTGTGGATGAGTTTCATAAAATTATCTCAAATGTCATAATATTTGGTTGTACAGTTAATGGTGCTGGGCTTGCAATGGCCACTATGGATATCATTAAACTGTATGGAGGAGCTCCAGCTAACTTTCTTGATGTTGGTGGAGGAGTCCAAGAGGACCAAGTATACCATGCCTTCAGAATACTTACACAAGATACTAGGGTAGGTTGGTGTGATAAAATATTAAAACAGTATGAACAATAAGATACTAGGGTAAGTTGGTGTGATAAAGTAATAAAACAGTATGAACAATAAGATACTAGGATAGATTGGTGTGATAAAGTAATAAAACAGTATGAACAATAAGATACTAGGATAGGTTAGTGTGATAAAGTAATAAAACAGTATGAACAATAAGATACTAGGATAGGTTAGTGTGATAAAGTAATAAAACAGTATGAACAATAAGATACTAGGATAGGTTAGTGTGATAAAGTAATAAAACAGTATGAACAATAAGGTACTAGGATAGGTTAGTGTGATAAAGTAATAAAACAGTGTGAACAATAAGGTACTAGGATAGGTTAGTGGGATAAAGTAATAAAACAGTATGAACAATAAGATACTAGGATAGGTTAGTGTGATAAAGTAATAAAACAGTATGAACAATAAGATACTAGGATAGGTTAGTGTGATAAAGTAATAAAACAGTATGAACAATAAGGTACTAGGATATGTTAGTGGGATAAAATAATAAAACAGTATGAACAATAAGGTACTAGGGTAAGTTGGTGTGATAAAGTAATAAAACAATATAAACTATTTAACTTTCACTGAAAGAAGATAATAGAATTCTATTAGTTAAATTTGTTCAGAATCTAGTTCAACACTCATATCTAGCATTAACTATGTAAACACCTTACTTACACAACAGTGATTACATAAGTTGCATATCTTAATATTTCATGTAAAATAAATGTTTCTTCAAATACAAGTAAAGAAGCAGAAAGCTAAGATTTTTTATTAAATAAATTTTTTAATTATCATTAGTGGTTATAGATATCTTTTTCTGTACAGTTAAACTTTGATAGGTTTTATATTTGTTAATTAAACCACTATAGAGAATACAAGAGTATTTATGATTTTGAAAATTGCATCTTGGTTAGTTCTTTCCATGTATCTATAGAAAACTGAATTTACAACAATTAGAAAACCGTAAGATCCTGACTGTATTATATGAAAATGAATTCAAGAATATTTTTTCACCTCTAATTTTTTTCTTTACTGCTTTTATCTTTAGATTAACAGTTTTTCATAATTTTCAGTTAAAAATCTATTAAACAAAGTAAATTAATCCTTTCATTTTATATCCAATTGTATTATCTAACTACTTGAAAAAATTATGAATCATTAAAATTGTTTGAAAGACATATTTAGTAGTGAGAGAACATCTAGGATTTGTTGGTGTGGATAATTTGTCTAGTGAGCTTGTTCGTAGACGTTTCTTTATGTACTTTTGAGTATCTTTAGCAAATCTGTTTTTGTTTTATTGTCCAGATTAGTTTAAAGAAATGAGAAAAAAATCCAAAATCAAGACTTTTGAATATTAAAGTGGCTTATGTTAACTGGCTGACCCCTATGCTTGTTAGTTTGGAAATGTGGTGGCTTCATGTTGTGTGCAAGTTCACTGACAACACATGCTACAACAGGATTCCATGACTTGGTAGAGGAGATCCTGTACTTTGGCAGGTGCTAAACCTCTCTACCTTGTAAATTAAACTAATCAGGATTGATGTACAAGTAGCACAGTACTGAGAGAGGGCTCTTTAGTATGGTTCTGGGTTGTGAATCAGTATATTTATCTCACTTGTTATAAATCCTTTTTGGGTCTTAATAAAATTAATTCACCATCAGACTACAACACCAATGCACATGATAATGAAGTAAACCTGTTTCCGAGTTTTATAAATTTCTCCTTTGCAGTTCAGTTTTAAAGGTTATCATTAATAGATTAGAAAGAGATATTGGAATCCCCATTCTCAGGATGCCAATTTGTAAAGTTTTTAAATGATGAAGTTTGAGTCCCTCTTAATCAAAATTAAGCTTTGTTTTAACATTTTCTGGTTGATCTCTCAGAGAATACATTATAGTAATTGGCATGTCCCAAAATTCATGTTCTTAGCTTGCTAAAGCAACTATACAACTTAGCTGTTGGAAGATGGTACTTTTTAATCTCTTCACTGCAACAACAACAACAAAGATTCCTTGTGTGAGACACTTTTTTGTTTCAAAGCAACTAAAAGGTCATGATTTGAACTGATTTCATGGTATAATCCTTTGTTTTGCGACATCGTTTTCTTTCACCTTGTAGTAGCACTTAAAAATCGATTGTGCAACATTTTTAGGCCTACTGCTTTTAGTCATGTAATTTATTCATCTTTATGGATGTATACATACAGAATATACTTTACAGGCATTCAAAATTTCTTTGGGATAAACCTTAGGCCTTCTATAAAACTCACTGGTTTGATTTTTTCTGGGATGATAGAAAGAGAGAACCTTTTTTTTTGCATGTAAAACTATAGCTGAATCTTTTCCTTTTTTCAAGTTAATCAGGACTAAATAGTGATATACAGCTACAGAAGTAAATGTCACAGATGTCCCAGGACTTACTCAAAGGTTTTTGTGTAACCAAGTTATCCTGTTGAACATATATGATAGTCACATAATTTTGTAATATGAACTACACTACACAGAATATAATGTAACCACTAGAAAATTTTGAGATCCTTCTGCCAATGATGTAGGAAAAGAGGGTTCGAACATGTAGTAGGTTTTATAGCACATCACAGATGTACAAGTAGATGTCATGTAGGGTTAGTGATGTAAATTATACACTAGGCACCACCTATTGTACTTTAACCCACTATCTTAACATAAATTTATATATATATATATTGTAGTCTAAGGTCTACTGTACAAACAATTACATACATAACACACTGCTTGAGAATTATAGTAATTTACACTTCTTACATTACATTCATATGTTTATTATATATGAACTATAATAATATACTCTTTTTTTCTATTTATTTGTTGTTAAATTGCTTTCTGGTTCTTTCCATATACTTGATAAGAAGTTTTTGTACCATTACTTTTTATATTTATCAATTATTTTTCTGTATTAAAAATCTTTAAATAAGCCATAAGTTCTGCCAATGCTTATAAAGTGTGCTATACAAAATATAATGTATTGTTACTGCAACTGCACAAAGATGATTGAACAAGTTTTACGTTATTTTATAAAACACTTTTTTTTTTTTAAAAAGTGTTTAAAGAGTTTGTAATGTTGAATGACAGATGTTTTTGCTCAAAATGAACAAGAATTAAGAAATTAAATAAAGAAATAAGTGAGCTGAAAATGTCTTTGGTAAACTTAATTATGTCCCACCGTGTAATTATCATGCCATTTTGAAACTTTTAACTATCATATTCAGATAGGCAAGGTAGTCAACTTCACTTTAATCACAAAGTAAGTGAATATTAGTTGTTTTATTTACACAATTGACTATCTTTTTTTAATAGGTAAAAGCCATATTGGTGAACATCTTTGGTGGAATAGTAAACTGTGCTACTATAGCTAATGGAATCACCAATGCATGTAAAAGTATTGGTCTGAAAGTTCCATTAGTGGTGAGATTAGAAGGTGAGGAAGTATTTTGATCAGAAATATAGTCTGATAATTTAAAATCGTTTATTGGTTTGTTTTTACAGTTAATTCTGAAAATTATTTCATTTTGTGTTTTTGATGTACTAGGTTTAACTGTTACATTTAATGTTCCAAGTACATATTAACCCCTTCTGTAATTCGCCTAAGAAAGCTGGGTGCCCTTCATATTTCAAAAAATATTTGACCAAATTTATTCTCATGTTATCATGTGTTGCAATCAGTGCTTGCTAGATGACATTGAAAGTGGTACAACCCTGACATTTTCTCTGGATTTTATTGCTGATGGAAAATTAAGCTTTTATAAAACACTATAGGTTATTGAAAAGCTTTTGTTTTCTACTTAAAATAACTAGTAACAATACAGTTTGGTAAATTACAGGAAAACCACTAAGTGTTATGAAACACTATACATGCATACATATACAGGGTTCTTATAGTTTCTTAGTGTATTTGAATATCAATAAGATTAATAATGTTGTTCATAGTGCAATACTTATTTTTGGATATACCAATGAGACAATGAAGGTCATGAATCTGTGATCAACAGTGGATGCTATCTGCTCATCATGGCCACCTTGTCAATATGGTTGACAAACTTGATTTTTGGCCATTAGCACCTGTTACTTTGACTGACTCAACAGTTATCATCAAGCAGCGTGTAGCCATTTTTATCATTAGACAGCTTAATTCAGCTGTATGTTTTGTTGTTCCACAGATGCAAGCCATTGTTGACATAGTGGTCTTAATGACCAAATAGCACCCTCTGTTGACCATAAACTTATCAGCTCCATTGTCTCGTTGGTATGTTTGCCAAGAATGTTACTCTGAGGTGAATAGTATTCATTCTATTGATATTTGAATACTAAGAAACTTTGTAAGATCCTTTTATATTAGAGTTCACATTTAGTATCAGTTTTTAGATAACCTTAAGTTCTAAAGAGGGTTTTGTGAAGTTTACCATGTAATTCTGATCTGTGTTACTTCTCTTTCAAGTTTATAGCCCTGTAAGTAAGTGATTTATAGTACTGTTTAAATTTCCAAAATTAAGGCCTAGGATTTTTAGTTGTTCAAAATTGTTTGAATTTAAATATATTTTTTTTTTTGTACAGTGATATTTCAGAAATAATACACATGGCTACAAAGAAAATTACGATTAAAATCAACTAAATTCCATTTCAGTTTAGTTTTTTCATTATTGGACTTTTAAATCAAGCATTTGTATGTTTCTTCCCCACAACATCATTTATTGAAGTTTACTCGATTGTACAAGCTTTTACTATCCCTAATTTTAAACTAATAGATTCAAGGAATTGTAAACAGTCAACAGTATCTACTGCCAACTCTTAGGATACTCTTTATCTGACTGAGTAGTAGGATTTGACGAACACTTAATAAAAAAACATTCCTAAGTTCCAGAGCATCCTTAAATAATATACCAAAATGCAATTTAAACTTTACATAGTTTTAGTAGAAAAAATAAAAAAATAAATAGATTAACATGTAATGAATGCATATTCAAAATGTATAGAATGAACACCATTCTTTCTGTCACAATCATCACTTAAAGCAAACACTCAGACAATATATATGTTCTCGTCTTAACTACCACAAAAAACATGTCTTTTTGTACACTCAAACCAAAACCAGTCGCTATGTGTTTATAGTGTTTTGCTTTTGTAGGGTTGCAGGAACATCATATTAAAAAAAACAAGCAAATGAAAAGAAATATGTTCATAATTGTGAAAGTACTTGAAGTTTTCTTTTTTTCTTTAAGACTTCAGTACTCTGTTTATAAGAAAACATAGTTTTAATGCATTTTTAGGTGTTGTTAAGGGTGTTAAACTGACTATCACACGTATTAATATATTACATAAATATATGATCTAGATTGTATATGTATATTCTTCTCATCTCTTCAGGTACTAATGTAGATGAAGCTAAAAGAATCCTCTCTGAAAGTGGACTTCCAATCACGACAGCCAATGATCTGGATGATGCAGCTAAAAAGGCTGTAGACAGTCTACCTATTTAGTAATATTGAAAGATTCCTAGAGATGAAAATGTTATATGTAATAAATAAAGTGTTTGTAAAGTTCTGTTAAAAGCTGTATTTCTGATATTTCCATTTTATGATTTTTTTTAGAAACATTATAAAAATTGAAAATAATGAGAGGGTTTTCCTTTGCAGGAATAAATGGTTCTAGTTCTAATATATGTTGTGTATACAATTCTGAATATTAGTTTCTTATTTTCAAGTTTTGTTGAAATTTTGTGTTTGAAAGTATTTATAGTTGTTCTAAGAACTTATGAATGGAAGTAAAGAAGAATATGTTATAATATATCAACCACACTACATCTGCCATATCCTTTCAGACAGTTAGTTATGGCATAGACCAATGGTTCTTAACCTTGTTTTGCTCCATGCCCCACCTCGACATCTCAAAAAATTGGATGCCCTCTTAATATAAAAACAAATTTGGTGTTTAAAATGTATAATAATGTAATGTACAATTTAGAAATTTACCAAAATTTCACACACAAATAAAAATTTTTCTTATTGTAGCATTTTCAAATTGCCCCCCTGTGGGGCGTGTGCCCCACGTTCAGAATCACTGGCATAGATGATTTGAAAACAGATATTTATCTGAAATAAAAATACGTATTGAAATTTTATGAAGTGGTTAAATAAACTGTAAATTCTCACCATTACCATAGGAACAAATTCATTCATGCCTAACTTCATAATCTGTAATCTTAGCAGAAAAAGATGCATGAAATTATTTCAGAACATTAGGTTATATTTCCTGTTTTAAACTTTTAGCTTTGAGTTTCAGTATAAAGATAAAGGAAAATAAAAAATGAATTTGTGTTTATTAGTAAAATCAACCAAAAACCACAGAGTAATGATTATCAGTTGCTTTATTAAATAAATCTATATACGTAACCTAGCTAGTATCAAAAATACATCAACAGTCTAACTAGAAGCAAGATAATTTTTTATACTTTTCTTTCTTAACAGATTTTTGTATACATTTTTTTTAATGTGAAAGAAATTGGTTAATAAAAATTGAAAATATAGTAAAAAAAAGATTAAAAATCATTGTAAGAAAGTATTAACTTGTCAACACTTTGGTCAAATGACCATTTTATTCTTTTTTCCATACAGTGATTTTTATCATGCTCTAGCCACAATTGTTTATAAATTGGTTGTTAAGAGCTTGCTGAATTTAATCGTCCTCATAATTGATATTTACAAAACTTGTGTTTAAGAAACTAAGTTGTAGCTCGTATTTTATCCATTCCTTCCTAGTGAAGAACACTAGTAGTTTGAATGTCCTTTTTTTGTTTTGTTTACACAAAGTGGATAACATTTTAGAAGAAACCCTGAAGTTGAATAATATCAAAAGAACGCTGGAAAGTTGGAGTTAGAATGTAATGTTTTGATGAAACTTGTGTTACTTAACACAAACAGAGGAAACAGTTTGAAGTTTGATATGGTTTTTGAAAAAAATGTTTTGAAACAACATTCATGATAAATTTGGAGTATTAGCAACAAAATATAATCATCTGTTACATTCCAAAAATCTTTGCAGTTGTAAAATAGCCACATCAGTATATAAGCTTTATTTTATAGGGTATTCAGTGTTACCATCATCACCCAAAATTTATTACAAATGAAGCTTTCATTTTAAATTGAATTTGACTAATTGTGGTAGTATGAATTGTTAAAGTGGGTTAACTCTTTTTACTCATTTACTAGAGAGTATGCTTAGTGTGCAAGATCTTAGTCAGATCCAATAATGAGCCCAGGAAATAGAAAAAAAATTTGATTACCACAGAAAAATGATCACTTGATGTGTCAAATTGATCATTTTTATAAAACTGGTGAAAATTTTAATTTAATTTCTCTGAATAACCTAAAATGTTGAATAATTTAAAAGTATGAAAGTTGTGTTCTTGTTTGATTTTTTTGAAAAATGTCATAATATAGCAAGTGCTTTAAGGTAATTGGTAATGAAGGACTTCACTTGGCAGGATAATATATTTTAACTTGTGCCTTGGATTTTACAGAAGAGATGAATCTTGGGTATTTTTACTGTTGTACTGAGAATATTTTGCATAAAGCAATAATACATATAATTTTTCTTTTAGCTATAAGTAACAACGTTTTTAAAATATTATAATGTGGAAATAATGTAGATGTAATTACAAACTTTAATTTGAGTACTTATTTTATCAAATATCATAGTTAAATACTTCCTACCATTTTAGAAAATTGACTTTTATCAGAGTAGTAGATTTACAAAGAATTCCAGACTTTTAGATTGTAAAAGAAAACTGTTTGAGTTAATAAAAAAATAAGATTATGTTTCACAAAATATGAGCCTTTCCACCATTAATGAATGTAGCACATTCCTACTCGATGTATTCTATAAACTACACATGTATATCAAGAGAAGTAAGCAGCCATATATTTGTGTTTGTAAGTTTTATAACAAAGATTAGGTCGATAATTGTACTACATCCCAGTGTTTGTTTTTAACACATTAGCATATTTAAACATTCCTCTCATTTGTTACATTTTAACTTTATTAGTATGCATTTATTAAGCTTACAATTTCTTCTTTTAAATATTATGAATTTATAATAAAATTCTAACCTAAAGCAGTACTTTTTAATAGTTTTATAGAATTTTTTGGGTAGTTTATTATGGTTGACAGGATAAAAGAATTACAAGTCACCTTTTTTTCTGCTCATCAGCATTATCAGGTCCCTGAAAACCAATACAGAACTTTAGAGGCATAAATGTCATCCACATCAGTTCTGTAATCTTTTTGAACAATTTGAACCCTAAAGTAAAGAGGAAAGGTGAATATTAGAAAACTTTAAAGCTTAAAGGAAATTGAAATCAGGATCAGTTCAAATCTACCAGTATTTTACATACAACTTAACGATATTCTCATAGTTTTGATTTTGAATATTGAGTAGCCGTGTATGATTTTTTGTACTTAAATAGTTATGTTTTTCAAATAATCATTTTATCTGATTTTATGTTAAATACAGGTGATGAAAATGGGAAGTAAAACTTATTACTAAAAACATTCATAGTGTGGAAGACTTAATCCTGTAATGAAACTTCTTAATACTTAATCTTTTGTCACTGTTTCCACTGTTTTACTTAGTTACAATTTCAGGACAAGTACTGTGTATACAGATGTAGCACTTTAACTTGGAGTCACACACAGTATGGTTGACACTTATGTAAAAGACAAAATAAATGACTGTATTTTGAGCAAACAATTGTAAGTTGTTTATTTCTTGAACTATTCAATCAAAATATATATCTGTTTAATGTTCGTGAAAAAAAAAAAGAGATAAAATTAGATATAAATTTAAAACTACGTAACATGTCTTGCCATTTTATTGATAACTGCATGGTTTATTTTGTCTGGTTACCAAAATAAACAAATGCCTGGGTGTGATTTAGTAACTAGCAAGTCCAGATTGTGAATCCAAGGATTCCTGATTAGCATTCCACAGCTGAAAAATGCACTTCACATTTTGGGCGCATTACAACAGTGACAATCAAATTCCACCGTTCAATTGGACAAGAGTTGAGGGTGGGTACTGATGACTTGTTACCTTCCCTCTAGTCTGTCAATTTAAGATTACGGACAACTATGTGCAGATAACCTTTTTGTAGCTTTGTGATTAAATTCGAAAGAACAATTTAAAATAAATTCAGTTAAATCCTAGTGAAGAAAATGTATATAATGCTAGATTTTACTGCCATTTCAATTGACCTAGTGGTTAGCGTGACTGTAATGTGAATTTGAGGGTTCATGGTTTGCGTCCCATTGCCGCAAAAAATTGGTTCTGCACGTGGGGTCAGTGGGTGAACTCATAAGAATGACGTTCAAATCTCACTATTTGGTCAGACAAGAATTGGCAGGGATTTCTCTTGGCTAGCTGCCTTCTCTATCAGTTGAAAAAAGGACGGCTATACATAGGTAGCCTTTGCTTAGTTTTGCACAAAACATTATTAAAACTAAATTATTCCCACCCTTTTACAGTTGAAACGTATTGTTGCGTCAGCGAGGTCACGTGACTAGTATCACGCCACCTGTTTCTAGAAATATCCTGTTCCTTCAAGAATGCCCTAGCATTTACCAGATATGTGTTAGTCTTGTATGTATAAGACGTTCACAACGTGACGGGACAACAATGTAATGAGTAATTGAATGTATGCGGACAAAATATTGTTGGCCACGTGAGACTGTTGAAATTAAGTGTATCGTAAAGTTGTATTCGGAAAGAATAAACCAGTTTTATTAAGAAAGGACTTGTGTCGCTAAAGTTTCGTCGGAACGAAGTTACGGAATATTAACTAGCGAACGGAGACGTAACAAATTGGTGTCAGAGAGTGGGATAAAAAAAATGGAAACGAGAAGCAGCAAATCAAACTACAGCCTAGCAGACTTAATGGCAGCAATACAAGAACAGCAAAAGAAACAAGAAGAAAGATTACAGCAGTGGCAAGAAAACCTACAACAATGGCAGCTCGAACAGCAAAATAAACGAGAGATTACAGCAGTTGTTAGAGGAAAAAGAAAAGAAACAAGAAGAAATATTACAGCAGTGGCAAGAAAACCTACAACAATGGCAGCTCGAACAGCAAAATAAAGAAGAGAGACTACAGCAGTTGTTGGAGGAGAAAGAAAATAAACAAGAAGAGAGACTACAGCAGTGGCAACTGGAACAAGAAAGGAAACAGGAAGAAAGTCAGCAGCAACTACAGGAAAGTCAACAACAGTGACAAGAAGTACAAATGGAAAACATTAGTAAATTTAAAAGCGAATTAGATACATTAAAGGATGATCTATTGTCTTTTACACAAGGAGGATACATTAACCATCGACTTAACCAGCCCCAGACAATGACAAGCCCCTTCCAGACCCTGCAGCTAAACCCGAATGCAGACATATTCAGTTCCATTAGAAGTCACATCCCAGATATGAATGTCAGTACTAGGAGTGATCTAGTACGAAGGAAGCCACAGGAATTTGATGGGAAGCATATAGAGCACAATTTGAGCTACTGGCAGAGATGAACGGATGGACAGAGGAGCAGAAAGAAGTATATCTGGCAACTAGCTTGAAGGGAC